CACAACTAATCCTGATCTGTTGGTCATTCACGTCTTCACAAACACAACTAAACCTGATCTGTTTGTCATTCTCATCTACACGAACACAACGAAACCTGAGCATGGTGGGGTACTTATCACGAACCTGCACGAACGGCTAGAGTTACTTCCCCACCCATTCATGCCACGTTGGGTTGCACGCTCTGTGTTATGCTTTGGGGGTGTAAAGCATTCCTTATTATCAACGTTTCAGTTGTGATCTCTTTTCTAATGCTATCATGGCTTACTTGTATGATTTTCTCCCACGCTGTGCTTCTTGTCCGACTGTTTGTGAGCATTTAAACTGCGATGATTTTTGTATTTCCACGATCCTTGTCAGTGGGTTTTTTCTGACGGGGAGGGGGCGGGGGAGCCTAGGTGGGGCGGGGGGGGGGCGACACCGAGGTATTCTAAAATATAAAAACATCTCAGTTTCGATACTCACGAACTGTCGCGCCTTAGGCGCTTTCCCCAGCATTACGTATTACTTGTATCCATGTGCATATGGCGCCTCAAAGAGACTCAGTACAAAACAACCTCCCTTAAACATTATGTACGGTGCGAGAACACTGAAAGAATGCATTTCATATCACCCCCACAACTTAGGACAGGTCGTGCAACCCGCCGCGACATGAATGGCAGGGGAAGGAACTCTCGCCATGCGGGCAAGTTGGTGAGAAGTTCCTATAGTGGACACATAGGAATTAAAGTTGTGACGAATTCATTGATGTCTGTTTCGCCACATTGTCAGTTAACTTGTTTGACCGTCATGATCCAGGTCTCCAGGCTTTTCTCCACACAAATGCAAACTAAATCAGAAGAATCACTCATGTCTAAAGTGTACAATGTCAGTACAGAGGTTAAGGCCAGCGGCATACGTGTCAATCTTGTGTGCTGGAGGTTCAAGGTGTTCAACGAATCAAGGCCGTCAAATGCATGCTTGGAAATTGTGGTAATCGGATTATTTTTTAAATTTAAGGCAAACAGCTTTGTATGAGCTGGAAAACTCGGAATCTGTTAATTCAGTGAGCATATTGAACGATAGATCGATTTCCATTAGAAATTCATGAAAATTAGCTTGTTCAATGTGGCTGATTAAATTATGTGAAAGATACACGGAAGTCCAAGACACAAGACTCCTCCATACAGTAGGAATCGATGGCCGAAAATTATTGCTCAAGTCAAAATCGTAAAGTTCATTAGACAGTGCTCCCGATGCTGGATCGGAAATCCTGTTGAAGGAGAAATCCAGGCTTGAAACGTGATTCAGAAAGGAGAAATCTGGAATGGCTGTCAACATATTTCTGTTAATTTTCAACGATGCTAAAGTTTCATTAAAGGGACGTAGCATATCGCTGAGTGAGATGTTTAGCATCCGATATAAGGTTGTTGTTTAACGACAAAGTGGTCAGCTTTTTTGGCTGAGGAAGCCATGTAAGGTTGGATATTATATTTGCGTATAGGTGTAGAGATTCTAAATTTACAAGTTTTGAAATCGCTTTCGGCACTGATGTCAGACTTGCGTTGCTAATAGTAGGGATGGTAGTGAAGTTTAATTTTTTGGTTTTAAACTTACGAAATTATAACAGCTAGTTAAAAATTAAAATTACAAATCCAATGGTACCTCATTTAAGCCTGTAAGTCGATTTTAAGCGGAGATATTAACATTTTAGTGGCGGACACCACGACAGAAAAATTGTAGTGAAAAATCGATAAAACATGGTTTCCGGCTGCGACCCATTGAGAAGAAATGACTCAATGTTTGATTTTACGGCCAAAACATTTTTGTTTCTGAACGAATCCCTTAGCAACCAAATATTGCAGGAAGCGGGACAGTTAGACCTAACTGTCTATGCACGTTTTAAAAACATATAATACATTATGCACCTAATTAACATATGAAAATGGCGGCCAGCTCACTATTTTCAAGCAAAACATTATACCTATATAGTTATCCGCCATAGAGCCTGACGACATGCATATCAAATTGTGCGTCCTGACAAGGTGAACACAAAGATCATAAAAATATACCAAGGTCAGTCGACGTGACCTAATTAACATATGAAAATGGCCACCAGCTCACTTTTTTCAAGCCAAACATTATACCTGTAAGTTTATCCGCCAGCGAGCCTGGCGACATGCATATCAAATTATTCGTCCTGACAAGGTGAACACAAAGATCATAAAAATATACCAATATCAGTCGACGTTACCTAATTACCTTATGAAAATGGCCATCAGTTGACTTTCTTTCAGCAAAAGCCTTATACATTTACAGTTGTCTGCCAATGAGTTTTGTACTGGAACCAACAGGGGCATAAAAATATACAAAGACCATAAAAACACATGCAGAAGGGAGCTAGAAAGTGAAGTTAACAAGATAGGGAAGACACTAAGAGCAAATGTAATAGCAATGACTATAATGACAGCGTGAGTTGATTGAGGACTAATGCCCCATTAGGGCATAGAAGGCAGAAGAAAAAAGACACAGTTTGGCAATATGTTTTTGACAAAATTAACATAGAAAGCGTATGAATGTGAATGTCTTTACTACACGAAGCACCTAAAAGTATCAACTAGTAATGATGCCACAGTGAGAAATGAATGATAACGTGCATACATGAGGGATAACAATAAATAGCACTAATGTTCTTACATTTGAAAAAAAGGGAGATTGAGATAGATACATATGAAATGTAGACAGACAGACTGAGACAGCATGGATGATTGATATACCGTGGGATTTTGATGTGATTATACATTCACCACAGCTTCACACATGCTGCTGCTATATCTATAAAGCCACTACGGAAACATCCATCTGGCAGGTGGAATAGTACAACAAGGATCATTGTTATACAGTGTTGTTTTCATATACATATCACTGCTTCTCTCGTGTTGTGTAGGAGTACAAAAGACAACAGTCTAGGCATACACTAATAACAGAGACAGCATGGATGATTGATATACATTGGGATTTCATGTGAGTATACATTCACCACAGCTTCTCCGGAAAACAACTGCTATTGTGTAATAAAAAAAAAAATAAAAAAATTATTGTAGTATCCATGTTTGCCCAGCATCCAAGAGCAAAACATTTATACTGGTATGCATCATGACCAGTCGACACACAGAGGACTGTATTTAGTGAATAGAAAATCACACAGAGACAGTTTAAAATTATCGGGATCGGAGCAAATTGAATGCATGAGACAGCAGAGCCAGGGAATACCACAGGAGAAGACATACAGTGGGGATAGCAACAAGTCGAAAGACAGAGACAGGTAAAAAAATGAAAAGAGGCAGTGACCCAGAGAATAACAGTCAGGAAAAAGTCACACACTAAAAATGAATATAAAATAAAGTTACCAATACAATATACAATTAGCTAACTCACTGATACATTGATAAACACTCAAAACCATTTGATGTGTTGCAGCACAAAACAAATGACACCATATATAAAAATTAAGTGTACCTTCAGTATTTGTTAAACCTGCCAGTAAAGCAACTAAGCTCACTTTTGAAATGCCTTTTCCATATAATACCAGCCCGTGAGACAGTGTGAGCTCAACAGCTCTTTTATTATAAATCAAAACCAATAATAATAATCTTTTTATTCATGTAAGACATACTAATGGACGATGGAAACACTGACCACAAGTACATACAATTTTACAAAAATGATAAATCCCCCAGTGCGAAGTCGACTAAAAACTGTTTAACATTCATACTACAAAAGTCACTTGATGGCTCATCATGTTCTCTCCAGTATCACAAATCAATAACTTTCTTACATTTATCTTTTGTTTGTGTGGTTTCCACATTCCTAACCATCTCAAAGTAAACACAGTCCTGGCCCTCTTGATGCCAAACATGTCGCAGTATTACATTAGATAAATTTGCATTATCAGTTAAAAACCTCTCTAAATGAATTTTGGACGCACAATCTAAATCATTTAGTGCCAGAATTTGTGAAATTCGTGATCAAGATATGCGTAGGTAAAAATATCTCCAACATAAAATACTGTAAACTCTAAAAAATGACAAACACATGCAAAAATGGTACAATGTTTGTGGATGTTTAAAAAGTAACTCACATAACATTGTCAATTTCCTAAGCATCCTAAGTTAATTACCAAAGAATCATCTTACCAATGATGGCCTAAATTAATTATTGGGATGTGGGGGTGATCAAGCAAAAATATCTCCAACAGAGAATACAAAGGGCTCTAAATATTGACAGATGCATGAACAAATGCTACAATGGTTGTGGATTTTAAAGAAAAAATGATTAAAATAACGTTAGGTAATTTAATAATTATTTCAAGTTAATTATAAAGCGGCAAAAACGGTCTCCTAGTGCAAATATATTGGATTTGAAGCGAAAACAGTGATGCCATTAAACAATTTTTTTAAACATGTGCTGTATTGCCAATCTTTGTGAAATTTCCTACACTTATATAAAAATTAACGCAGAATTTAAAAATACACCACACATTGCGGTATTCTGGCTAATTAAGAAGATATTTACGAAATTACTTACCGTTATTGGATTTAAAGCGAAAACAGTGATGCCACTAAACAATTTTTTTAAACATGTGCTGTATTGCCAATCTTTTCGAAATTTCCCACACTTATATAAAAATTAACGCAGAATTCAAAGATACAATACTCATTGCGGTAATCTGGCTTATTAAAAAGATATCTATGAAATTACTTACCGTTTATTCACTGCACGCTGTCAAAAAAAAATCGATTTATTTTATACGCGTCAAAACCATCTCAGGTCAAAGCCTGGCATCTCTCCAATAACTCCTAATAACTGTTCCGATTTTATCTTTCACGTAAAGAGAACAGAAAAATAAATTCTTAATAACGGACAATTCGTTTTGCATTATCGGGTCGCAGTCGCGTCTATAGATACCGACGAAAATGTATAGCAAAAAAAACGAAACAAAACTACTCATTGCTATACCTACTAATAGACAGACCTGACAAGTTAAAGATCATTTTGTTTAGCGCATCGTCTGGAAGTGAGGAAATTTGATGGAAGTCCACAGTTAAATCATTCAATTTGGAATAGTTGGTCAACCAGTGGGGCCACATCTTCAAGCCAACATTTTCCAGATCAAGATTTATCATTGTTTGACCAAGTTTCTTCATAACGTCATCATTCCAATCCACAATGTTTGTGTCGTAAAAATCGAAATATTTCAAGTTTTTTAAATGACCAAATGCATCCGGGATTCGTGAAAAGTTGGCTCTTGAAATTGAGAGGGAGCGTAAAGTTGTGGCGGATCCGTTAAAAGTGTTGTCATCGATTGTTGCTATGGGGTTGTCTAACAAGGATAACGACACCAGACTAGATGGTAGACTTCCGGCTGGTATTGTTGTGATGTGATTACTCTGTAAGGGAAAATTAAAAGTTGTGTTAAGTTTTGTTTTAGGAATATGATCAATTTTGTCCCAGGTTATGCTGGTGTGAAAGGCAATGAGAGAGCAGACGCTCTGGCTGGCAGTGAAACCATCAGGAATGGGCCATCAATGGACATGAAAGACATCATCAATGCCATACTAGATACTAAATGCTGTGAGGCTTTCAGTTTTGTGGAACATGATTTGTCAATGAATAGACTACATAAAATAAGTATACCATTTGGAGCAGAGAGACATATAAACCATGAGCAAGGCATCCTTACATCAACCACAATGAGAGTTGTTAGCCAAAAAACACTTGAGAACATACTCAGAAGGAGATCGGAGCACTTATGGTCATGTCCGAAGTGCGATAAGGATCTTTAAATAAACAATGAGCAATAGCAAAACACTTCCATGCCTGCCATGGGTCTTATGTTGGAACCTCTTGATTTTTAAAAACTACCCTTCCCTACTTAATGGTTTCATGACAGAATGGTGAGAAACAACAAAAATAGAGCCACTGTCCGCTAACAAGCGTGCAGCAAGAATCGATTAAATAGGTATGTTTCGTCTGAAGTCAGACTGGCCGGAGAGACGATAAACCAACAGTCAGCATTAATAAACGAGATCCAGAAAACGGATGTGAATGCAAAACCAAAGCTTTGGAACCAGACTGAAAAATACAGAAGTAGACGAACAATTATAACTTTGGGTCAGAGTTTACAGTCGGTGAACGCTAAAAAAAAAATCACTTCTTTCCGATGAAGAATTAAACTGAAATATGTGAAGTGACGATTGCCCGGCCTACTCCTGTATACCCAGAAAGAGAAGATAGAAAACACATGCAAGGAGTAGGAACTATCAGGACACATAGAGTTGTATGGACTGACTATTACTTCATCATAATATATCACGTACCTTGTTAAACACGGGTGAGAAGTTGCCATACCACTCTTAGAGCGCCGACAGGGGCTTTAGAAACGTGAGTTAGGCATCATTTGTCGGATGCGGATGCGGATAGGTCGTGAAAAAGTCTTTGGCGTTAGATCACCCTCCCCCCCCCCCCCCCACACCACACACACACACACACACAAACATACTAGGTCAGTGAACCTCAAATTAAATAAGCCATAATGTAGAACATTTCCAGCATAGAGTGCCAGTATCCTAGTGTAGGCTACAAAAAAATTCAGTATATGAAAACAATACAGCTATAATGCTAAAGGTTTCCAACAGACACCACTAAGCATGTTAGGCACCTGATATCACTCTTTTTTAGAGTGTGATTGGAAAAAGGGGAGTGGGGGGGGGTGTTGGTTAGACAAGATTAATTTATTCATAAACTGACAACACAGAATACACAACATAGCAGTGTGATTATTCAACATAACCGTCTTATCAAGATTCCTGGAACAAAGCAGTGTGATCAGTCAACATAACCGTCTTATAGAGATTCCTGGAACATGGCAGTGTGACCAGTCAACATAACCGTCATACAAAGATTCCTGGAACGAAGCAGTGTGATCAATCATAACCGTCATATAAAGATCCCTGGAACAAAGCAGTGTAATCAGTCAAAATAACCGCCATATTAAGATCCCTGGAACAAAGCAGTGTGATCAGTCAACATAACCGTGAGATAAAGATCCCTGGAACAAAGCAGTGTAATCAGTCACAATAACATTATATATAGATTCATCGAACAAAGCAATGTGATCAGTCAACATAACCGTCATTTAAAGATCCCTGGAACAAAGCAGTGTAATCAGTCACAATAACATTATATATAGATTCATCGAACAAAGCTGTGTGATCAGTCAACATAACCGTCATTTAAAGATACCTGGAACAAAGCAGTGTGATCAGTCAACATAACCGTCATTTAAAGATCCCTGGAACAAAGCAGTGTGATCGGTCAACATAACCGTCATATAAAGATCCCTGGAACAAAGCAGTGTGATCGGTCAACATAACCGTAATATAAAGATCCCTAGAAACATAGCAGTGTGATCATTCAACATAACCGTTAATTGAAGATTCCTGGAACATAGCAGTTTGATCAGTAACATAACCGTTCTAAAACATAGCAGTGTGGCCATTTAACAAAACTGGTGCATGTACATTACTGTTATTTGACATTGAGATCAGTCAACGTAACTGGTATATGACATTCGTAAAACGTAGCAGTATGGCCTTTTTTTTTTTTTACAAATTTGTCACATGAACATTCATAGTATGTAAAATTATAGCCAGAAGAACGAGCTAAGTAAATGTGTGTGTATTTTAAGATTTAATAGGTTAACACTACCTACAGTTAGGTTGAGATTACTGTAGAAAAAAATGCAATAAATCAACACAACAGTCAGTCCATTAATTTAGCAATGTAGTACATTAACATTCCAAACACCAAACACATTTTTTTTTTTAATGACAAAAACATCTCTTTTTCAATGTGTTCATTTTTGTATAGTTTGACATTCGTAGAATAGATTAGACACAGGATTCGTGTCATTTAATGACAGTTTAGCATTGAAAAGTTAAAACCTAAGGCACCAGTCCATGAATTCTTTTAAAGATAAAATATATTTTGTACCAAGAAATAGCAATGTTTTAAACACAACAACAGCTGTTACCAAATTCTTTAACAGGGCATATTTTAAATCATTTTTACAGCCATTCGAAGACCTTTTCGATTTCTATATACGAAAGCAAATATTAGAATTGCCGGCGAGCTACGAAACAACTAGTCAGCATAACGGGATATCAGTGGCTTTATTATTTGCCAGCATTTGATAAGTCCATATTAGACATTTCCTTGACGACGGCTTTACTACACCAGCACATAACTTAGAATGTCCCAATGTTGTTTGATTTCTAACGCAATCAGACGTGTTTAAATCTATAATTAGTATACACGATGTTATTATTACACGAAACGGATTTCACTTTGGACACACACACAAAATAAAAAATAAAAGCCTAGAGGAATACATGCAAGGAAACTTAGTGAATCTTCGAATTTGAGATACATTTTCGTCACACAATGGAGTCTGAGTTGTAGAGCACAGCAGAAGCTTGATGTATAAAACAGCAAGAATCTGACTCAGGAAAAAAGAAAGTAACTATGAGTATGTCTCTTCATCCTTCACATTCATTCATCACAGTTTTTTGCATTTCACTTGTATTTTTGCAGTGGGCTGCAAAAATTGCGGATGTAACAATATACAACTAGTTACGAAAAAGACAAATGGTCTGGCCTTCCTTAAAGAAATTATCTGTCCAGATTGTGAGTCGCAGTGGTCAGACTGGACATCTCTGCAAATTGACAAAAAGCATGAAATCAACTACAGGGTAGTCACTGGTTGTATAGACAATGACATTGGCTATGTTAAGTTAAATTCTTGGCTGTCTATCGTAAACATTACAAATTTGATGCCTCAAACAAAATATTATAAATTAGCAAACAGTGAGAGCCCTGCAGCCAAGATAGCAGTAGAGGAAGCAATGTGCCGAGCAGCTTTTGTATTTGCAGAAAGATCAGCAGCTGCAGTTCTCCAACCAGACAAAGCCACAAGTGACATTGGGTGCCTCATCATCACTGTTTCAAAGGATGGCACATGGCAGATTGTGATAACATGAAATAACATAACATCTTGTAGAGAGTAGGCAGTCCGAACCAAAGTTCACGGTGTCTCCTTCGTGCCAAAGAGCTGCATGGCTGTTGGGTGAACAGTCGTTAACGAATTCAGTCAGGTCGTTATAGGGGCGACGCTTGCTGGTGGATGTTATGTAATAAGCCTCTTCCCCAGCTAATAGTGAGGGTACTGCTGGGGTGACCGTTTATTAACCCTTAAATAATGCTTTAGGTCAAAATGGATGCTAAGCACGGCCACTTTTTGTAGCCGTGGCAATTTTCATTTTATTTTGCCAGACTGTGGTCGTTGAATGTTTGCTCCCTTTGTAGACTGGAAGGATGTGGTTTTGTTGCCCAGCTTCTGAGTTTAGTGCATGGCGTAAGACTGTGAGCTGCGGATTTCATTTGAACTGTGATAAACATTTTATGTGTTTTTCGTTGGCACAGGAGCGGGGCCACACGTTCGCTTTGAAGCTGAAACTAAGATTACCAGGTTACCATATAACATGGCAGAAACGATGCCATTCGTCACCAATGGAGTCTAGGTTGTCATCGACGTTGATAGTAGTCTCGTTCTGGATCCTCAGGTCATCAGTATTTGACAAAATGGGACTGGAATATGAACTAACAAACAACCTGTATGCTACAGGAAAAGGAAAAAGCTGAACAAAAAGTCGACTCGAGCTAGAACATCAGTATGAAGCAACAGAAGGCAAAACCTATGTTGCTGGTGCATTTAATTGTTAAATTTATGTGTCATTTTCTGTGGATATGATGCAGAATAAACAGACTTGATAAGAACACTTTCTTTATGTATTAATTACATTTTATGTGACTCTCAAAGTTTAAAAGTCAGTGTTCTCACAATTCTACTTTTCTGTTTGCTGTGTGTGGGAAATCCTTGACGTCAGTTAATACAAACACTAAAAACAGGACATTTCGCGTGGATACTTGTTACACAATATTATAGGGGAAGGTCTATTTAAAGGTACAGTTTTCAAGTATTTTTTTTTAAATTTGATTATCGTCTTATCTCCAAGCCAGAGTACAGAGCCTAAGCTCCCCGCCAACTGCGGCATCAAGTAGAAGAACTCCTTTTAACTCTAAGCCAGAGTACAGAGCCTAAGCTCCCCGCCAACGGCGGCATCAAGTAGAATACAGCTAAGCCTAGTTTCCAACCTCTAATGACAGCAACTTGATAACGCTTGATGATAACATGCTTGATTGTAATGACCACGCTGACCTGAACGTATGTACGAAGCATCAATTCCACATGATCTGGAAAATTAAATATCACGGAGCGGCTTGGCCTCCCATGCAACGACATCGTTCTCACGGTTCCAGCATTCAATTTCCTCCTGTGTGCAGGACCTCACACCAGGAACTGTACCCAGAATGAAATCCGGCGAGCTACGAATCACCACACAGACCTCAGCAACGCCTGTAAAATAGGGAC